CGGATGCCACTGAACAAAAAGAACACGCCCGACCTGGGGAGCTTTGGTGAAAATCTCCATTCTCCGTATCTTGTCACGCGGTTCACTTTGAATTCTCCTGCAAGCTTTGGAGCCATCGAACAAGCGACGATGATTAGAGAATGCTGTAGTTTCCTATACCTCGTTCGGGCTGCGACCTACTGCTCGTTTGGACATTTCGTTTGCTAAACGACCATAGTTGAACAGGCGAGTGGCTCTTTTAAATCTTTATATTCCCCTTTAACACTATCTCTGAGTCTTACCGGAGTAGGTTTGCAACACTCTCTTTCCCGGAACGTCTTTTTTCTCCTGCACTGTTTCTACACTGTCGTTTTCGTCTATTTTGATCTCGTTTGTTTGAAAAACGCTGGTCGCGCAGTACGTTTGCGATCGGTTTCGTTTTTACCTCGTGCAAATTTGTAAAACAAGTTTTTCGTTTTTAAATCTATTCACAGAGTACACGCGAGTAATTGTTGAATTTTGTTACTCTAACAAAACGTTTGAGAGATAACCCTTGATATTTTTCGCTTACTTCCTATTTTACATCTAGTCCGAAACGTCACATCGATTTATACCGATTGCCCTCTGCAGCCATTGATAGACCACAACAGATCTGGGCGAAATGGTTGCCCGTCGAACGTCAAACGCGGTATGCAATGCCACACCTGCAAGGCCTGGTGGCATTTTAAATGCACGGGTTTACAGGACGACCAGATAAGCCGACTAGCTAACTCTCCTGACCCGTTTGCCTGCGCCAGCTGCCTCGACGTTAAGGGTGCAATGTATACCGCAGCGAAGAGGAGAGCCCCTAAAACGGTACCCAATCCCCAGTGCAGATTCAGAAAGACCACTGCCAGTGTTCCGCTTTAATCGGACTACTCGACGCGAAATTAGAGCGTCTTTCGAAGGCACTGGAAGATTCAGACACTAAAAATGCAGCGACCTGGACGAAAGTTGACAAGGAACTTCCTTCGCTGAACCAATACCTCGCGATATCCATGCCGGGCCCTATGGCTTCGAAGAAAGTCATACAACTCTCTGACGCGGCTATAAAGACCGCGAAAGCGTCTCTAGTGGAGAGGCGCCTAAGGGAATGACGATTGATAATCTGGGGGTCATTCTCCGGAAAAACAACGCCTGTGAAGCTGGCACAATCAATCCTTTGGAATGTCGTCACCAAGCCCGACCAATCGCTCCGTGCAGAATGGTTACGCCAGAAGGGAAGCAAGCTAACGCCTGGACTTCTCGTCACTCTTTCTTCCCCATCTGACGTACAGAATATCTTGCAGCGGGCTGTCAGCAGCCCAATTGTCAGGCGTCTATCTGAGGATCGCTCTCTAGACGCGTGAATACTCGGTAACAACAGGTCAGAGGTGGAGGCACGAAACGGGCTTCCGCTGGGCACAAACTCAGCCGACCCTAAACTCACGACCAAGCCGATTGTGCTCATATGCCCCTGTTCTCCCGAAAGCAGGCCGACGAAACCAGCTGCGTCTCCGGACAGTAGTTTTATTCGACCACTACATGCCTCTCCTCCATCAAAAGCAGGGATGCTCTCGAGGAGGCATACCTCACATTCAAGCAGCGCCCAAAGTACGTGGGACTATCAACGCTTATCTCCGTAACAGCTGCAGCCATGCTGCAGCCCTACCAATCCCGATTGTCCTCTCTGACACCACCCCCGCACCCTTTTGCGATGCAATGTGGGTCCAAATCCTGCTGTGCGGGTCCGATTCGCTCCATCTCGGCGTGGTCTACCGTAGCCCCTGGAGTCCCCTGAAGATGACCAATTCCTCATACAAACCCCTGAGCAACTCTCCTCCAAAGGCCTCCTGGATGGAACTCCAGCGCGTCGAATCAAGCGGACTATTTGCAGCGGCGCTCACTGAAGTCGTTCAACGGAGCGCTTGGACTCAACATGTCGTTGCACCCACAAGATACCGCGCAGGCCACCTACCATCCCTCATGGATTCGTGAGCAGTAAAATAACTTTATTCGCGGACGATATCAAGATATGGTCAACCATACGCACCATTGAAGACAGTCACCGACTACACAAAGATCTCGATACACTTTACGATTGGTCACTGAAAAACCGACTACCGTTTAACCTTCAAAAGTGTAAGGTGCTCCGTGCAGGGAAGCCCTTTGCATATAACTATACCTTGGGTCCACAACCATTTTCTTGGACTAGTGAAGAAAAAGATCTGGGCGGGTGGATCAGCAGCTGTTTAAAAAACTCCTTGCAATGCACAGCCGTCTACAAGAGGACCTCACAAGTCCTGTCGCTCCTAAACGACTGGCACTGCCCCGAGTAATCAATACCTACATCCGACCAACCATGGAGTACGCTATACAAGCTTGGTCACCATGGCTGCAAAAAGACAAAATTCTTCTACAGCGAATATATCATCGAGCCACGAAGCTGGTAATTGGATTGCATAATAACCCATACGAAGACAGGATTGCCAGTCTCAACCTATTTGACTTCTACTATCGGCGCATCAGGGGAGACCTAATTCTTACATATAATATACTGAAGATACCTAATCATCCGCTGGAAATTCTTTTTGTCCGACGTCGACCACGAACGGACAGGAGGCATGACTTTTCGCTCGCGGTACCTCACTCGACGGTGAACTGTCGACGGAACCGTTTTGCGGTCCGTGTATGTTTCATTTGGAACTCCCTACCTCCCAATGTTATACATTCACCGAGTTTAACCATTTTCAAGAACAATTTACATGCATATCTTTTGTCCAAACCGAATCTAGAACTGTTTAACTCCATGTGATACTCAGCAAACATTGCGCATATTTTGCGTCCCTTTGTATATATACGTTCGCCCTATGGTTGTTGTAAAGTTAATTGCTTTTTAGACCAATAAACCTTGAATTACCTTGAATTGAATTAGCTTGAATCACCAAAGAAAGGCACTTCGCTGATCAGGTAACAATTAACGCTTCACTGGGACATAGCGACCACTGCGGGTTGACCTTCGATTTCATCTGCTATTGGGCCAGAAATCCCGAACGTCAATCGTCGTTTCGAGACTTCTGCCGTGCAGATTTCTCAGGAATGCGCATCTTTCTTGAACAGGTCACACTGAGACCAGCTCCAGTGGAAAAACTATATAGCACCATTGTCCAGAGAATTCACGAGGTTGATGCGACGTTCGTCCCAAAAAAACCAGCACGCACTCGGATGGACCGCAAGCTGCCAAAAAGGACTCGGCGACTTCTGGAAAAAAGATCACAATTCTTTTCAAAAAGCTGACTTCAGGAGATACAGAAGATGAGCTGGCATTTCGTAAAATGCGGAGCCACTGTAAATCATAAATCCGCCAATGGAACATACGAAAACAAGCCACCATTCTGGACCTCGCTCGAAAAAACAAAAACGTACTGTTCAAGTACATGAGACATCGCCGCAGAAACAAGCCATCCGCGTTCTC